TAGTGAAGGGTACAGCCCTTCGCACTCTCTTCGCCATGGCGGCCATCAAAGGATGGGTCGTAAAGCAAATGGATATGGTGACAGCCTTCCTGAATGTCATCTTGGAGGAAGAGACTTTCATGGAGCAGCTAAAGGGGTATATTGATGGGAATGGCAGAGCTTGGAAGCTGAACAAAACACTCTATGAACTCAAGCAAGCTCCTAGGCAATGGCATACCAAGCTGCGGGAAGTCTTGGAGGCGATCGGCTTCACTCCCTCAACGGCCGATCAATCATTTTTCATGCTTGGCGAGGGGGAGCAGAGGAGCTTCATGGTGGTTTATGTGGATGAAGTCCTCATATTCTCACCCTCATTTGACCTTGTAAAGGAGGTGACGCTGAAGCTTCAAGACAAGTTCAAGTGCAAGACCCTTGGTGACGTCAACTACTACCTTGGGTTTCACATTGAACGAGATGTTGGGATGATGGCAGGGATGCTGAGGAAGGCATAAGGGACCTTGGGATGATGGCAGGGATGCTGAGGAAGGGGGAAGGGATTTTGGGATGATGGCAGGGATGCCCACGAAGGGAGAAGGGACCTTGGGATGATGGGAGGGATGCTCAGGACGGAAGAAGAGACCTTGGGATGATGGCAGGGATTTTGAGGACGGGAGAAGGGACCTTGGGATGGTGGGAGGGATGCTGAGTGAGGGAGAAAGGACCTTGGGATGATGGTTGAGAGGCTAAGGACGGGAGAAGGGACCTTGGGATGATGGCAGGAATGCTGAGTACGGGAGAAGGGACCTTGGGATGATGGCAAGGATGCTGAGGACGGAAGAAGGGACCTTGGGATGATGGCAGGGATGCTGAGAAAGGGAGAAAGGACATTGGGATGATAGCAGGGATGCTGAGGACGGGAGAAGGGATCTTGGGATGATGGCAGGCATGCTGAGGAAGGGGGAAGGGACCTTGGGATGATGGCAGGGATGCTGAGGAAGGAGAAGGGGCCTTGGGATGATGGCAGGGATGCTGAGGAAGAAAAAGGGGACCTTGGGATGATGGTAGGGATGCTACGGAAGGGGGAAGGGACCTTGGGATGATGGCGCGTTTGCTAAGGACAGGCGAGGGGACGCTAGGATAATGCCAAAGATGCTGAGGAAGGGAGAAGGGACCTGGGATGATGGCAGGGATGCTGAGGAAGGGAGGAGGGACCTTGGGATGATGGCAGGGATGCTGAGGAACAGATAAGGGACCTTGGGATGATGGCATAGATGCTATGTAAGGGAGGAGGGACCATGGGATGATGGTGGGGATGCTTAGGAAGGGGGAAGGGACCTTAGGATGATGGCAGGGTTGCTAAGGATGGGAGAAGGGACCCTTGGGATGATGGGAGGGATGCTGAGGAAGAGAGAAAGGACATTGGGATGATAGCAGGGATGCTGAGGACAGGAGAAGGGACCTTGAGATGATGGCAGGGATGCTGAGGAAGGAAGAGGGGACCTTGGGATGATGGAAGGGATGCTGAGGAAGGGGGAAGGGACCTTGGGATGATGGCAGATGTGCTAGTGATAGGCGAGGGGATGCTGGGATGATGGCAGGGATGCAGAGGATGGGAGAAGGGACCAAGGAATGATGGCAGGGATGCTGAGGACGGGATAAGGGTTCTTGAGGTGATGGCAGTGATGCTTTGGAAGGGAGAAGGGACCTTGGGATGATGGTAAGGATGCAAAGGAAGGGATAAGGGACCTAGGTATTATGGCAGGGATGGTGCGGACGGAAGAAGGGACCTTGGGATGATGGCAGGGAAGCTGAGGACGGGAGAAGGGACCTTGAGATGATGGCAGGGATGCTGAGGAAGGGATAAGGGACCTTGGGTTGATGCCTGGGATGCTGAGGAAGGGATAAGGGACCGTGGGATACTGGCAGAAATGCCTAGGACGGGATAGGGCACCTTAGGATGAAGGCAGGGATGCTGAGGAAGGGATAAGGGACCTTGGCATGATGGCAGGGATGCTAAGGAAGGGAGAAGGGACCTTGAGATGATGGCAGGGATGCTGAGGAAGGGATAAGGGACCTTGGGATGATGGCACGGATGGTGCGGACGGGAGAAGGGACCTTAGGATGATGGAAGGGATGCTGAGGAAGGGAGAAGGGACCTGGGATGATGGCAGGGATGCTGAGGACAGGAGAAGGGACCTTGGGATGATGGCACGGATGGTGCGGACGGGAGAAGGGACCTTAGGATGATGGCAGGTCCGTACCCATCATCCGTGCCCTCAAGTCTGGCCTCCTGACACAGGAGAATCATGGCCCTGTTATTAGCAAACATGACCGGGGCAAAGCTTTGCTGTTCACCTAAGTCGGCGAGCAAGAATGCCAGCCAGCGGAGCCCCTGAGCAGCCATATCCCCATCGTAGGTCTCTGCCTCACAACTGGACTGAGCTACAGACGAGGACCTGGTGGACCTCCAGGAGACTGCATCCCCACCAAGGCTGAAGCAGTAGCCCTATAAGGACCTGAGGGTCTCGAGATTGTCAGCCCACGATGCATATGTGTGTCCAGTGAGCACCACTGGCTGCCGTCCTCCCAGCACAAGCCCTTGTTCTGATGTACTCGTCAAATACTGCACCATCCTCTTGGCAGCTGACCAGTGTTCTGGTTGGTGTCTGCCAGTCGCAATAAAGCGAGCAAGGATACTGAGAGGGTATGCTAGATCTGTTAGAGTGCTCATCATCAGGTACATGAGGCACCCCACCAGCTCTGCGTATTGACCACTAGGCTCGGCCGGCTCACTTGGAGGAGGAGTAGAGAGCTTGTGATCCACAAGCAGAGGGGTGGGCTGCGCTGAAGAGAATTGAGGGCAGGACCGCTGGAGGATCTGCTGCACCATGTGGGTCTGGGAGAGTGTAATCATGCGCGCGGCACAGTCACAAGAGATCTCCAAGCCCAGATAGCGCCACACATCTCCCAGGTGTGTACAGGCGTGGCACCTTAGCAGATCGGCCTTCACTGAGTCCAGTGCGACTCTGTCAGGTTGTAGCAAATATAGAGCAAAGGATCAGCTAAGGAAGGGAAGAACTGCAGAGCAGTGAGTGCGGTGCGGAGCGTGTCATGCCACTCACGGGGTGCTTGATGCAGACCGTAGACTGTGCGGCGCAAGCTCCACTCGGTCCCAGGTGGGAAGTACTCTAAAAAGTTTCGTGGGTGCCGGAGGTACATCTGCTCGTGCAAAGTGCCATGCAGGAAAGCTGTGGAGAAGTCTAGTGAGTGAGGCTCGTAGTCACGCTGCGCGGCTAGGTGAAGGAGCACCCGAAGAGTAGACATCTTCAGGGTGGGAGAGAAGGTCTGGAAGAAGGCCACACCCTCTCGTTGACTGAAACATCTAGCCATGTAGCGCGCCTTGAACTTCGGCTGCTCTCCTGGTGCGTGCGTCACACTGTAGATCCACATGCCATTGACTACGTTCGCCCCAGGCGGGGGAACTGGGTCGATGTAAGTGCGTGTGGATCTGTAGGATGCCATATTTGCCTCCATGACCTTTTTCCACTGGGCTGCCCAGGGCCCCGATACTGTTTCAGCATAAGAGCGTGAGATAGGGATGCCGAGAGCGTTCGGGTCACCCTCAAGGGATACAAGCATGGCAAGGAGATGGGGTACAGCAGCAGCAAGGAAGGCCAGCTCATACTGCCTCTCCTCTAGTACATCACTGCCAAGGGCAGGTGCACCCTCGAGGGACGGAGAACGAGCAGTACCACAGACCAGAGTGGCAGTATAATCAAGGCGGTGGCTAGCGGCGAAGTCAGCGACAGTAGGGACAAGCGAAGAGATAGTCTTAGGAGGAGCAATAGGGTCAGTGACAAGAGAGGAAAGCAGGCGCACGATGGTAGGACGAGCAGTGCGTGTAGCGTCAAAGGGAGGAGCATGTGGTGAACATGTCCAATAGGAGAGACAGGACGAGCACCAGGGGGATGATGGACACAAAGTGGAGAGAGGGGGTACTGGGGACGACGGAGAGTGGGGGACAAGACAGGGGACGCAGGAGTGCTGGGGGGGAAATGAGCCAAAGACGAGTCCGGCGGAGGGAACAGCAGGCCATAGACAGGGTCACTCAGGAGAGGTAGCACAGTAGGAGGGACGAGCGGTCAGTCAGGGGAACTGGAGGAAAGACCAAGGAGACAAAGGGCAGACTGCGGCTGCTTCTGCTTCTGCGGTTGCTGCTGCTGCTGCTGCTGTTGCGGCAGCTGCTCGCTGTCCTCTCCAAGACCTCCAGCTCCACCTCAGCGACCACCGCAACTCTCCAAGACACCACCCCCATGACCAGCACCCCTAGAGTTAGCACCCCAAGGATCAGCACCCCACGAACCAGCACCCACAGAACCAGCACCCCCAAAGACCACTGCCTCCTGCTGCTCCTGCTGCTGCTACGGCCGCTGAGTCTGCTGCTACTACTGCTGCTGCTAAGGCGAGGGGGGACGCTGCAGAGTTACCTAGGGTCCCGGGTTTGGGGGGGCACCGCAGGGGCAACAGGCGCACCCCCAGCAACCGAGCCGCCAAAGTCAGTAGACTCCCCCACGGGCCTGACCGAGGGGAACGGAGTGGCGTGAGAGACACCAGACAGGGCCGGGTGGGGTGGGAGGGGTGTGGCAAGAGGGGCAGGGGTAAGGAAGAGAGGAAGACGAGGGACAGGAAAGCTACGGTTCAAACGGCAAGCAGCCACGGGAGGAGAATGGTAGGCACGTCGGCCTTCCGCTCCAGCAGGAACACCATGTTGAAACGCGAGAAGTCGTCAGCGACGACTAGGACATAGCACTCCCGACTAAGACCATGGACCGGGCCCCAGACGTCCATGTGCAGTGTCTGTAGTAGCGCTGTGGTAGGAGGAAACGAGGAGTGAGGGGCGGCGCACTGCCGGCCCTTGACGCAGCAGAGCTTCTCTTCCTCCCTGCTCTCTCGCCTCTCTTCCTCCCTGCTCTCTCGCTTCTCTTACTCCCTGCTCTCTCGCCTCTCTTCCTCCCTGCTCTCTCGCCTCTCTTCCTCCCTGCTCTCACGCTTCTCTTCCTCCCTGCTCTCTCGCTTCTCTTCCTCCCTGCTCTCTCGCTTCTCTTCCTCCCTGCTCTCTCGCTTCTCTTCCTCCCTGCTCTCTCGCTTCTCTTCCTCCCTGCTCTCTCGCTTCTCTTCCTCCCTGCTCTCTCGCTTCTCTTCCTCCCTGCTCTCTCGCTTCTCTTCCTCCCTGCTCTCTTGCTTCTCTTCCTCCCTGCTCTCTCGCGTCTCTTCCTCCCTGCTCTCTCGCTTCTCTTCCTCCCTGCTCTCTCGCTTCTCTTCCTCTGTGCTCTCTCGCTTCTCTTCCTCCCTGCTCTCTCGCTTCTCTTCCTCCCTGCTCTCTCGCTTCTCTTCCTCCCTGCTCTCTCGCTTCTCTTCCTCCCTGCTCTCTCGATTCTCTTCCTCCCTGCTCTCTCGCTCTCTTCCTCCCTGCTCTCTCGCTTCTCTTCCTCCCTACTCTTTTGCTTCTCTTCCTCCCTGCTCTCTCGCTTCTCTTCCTCCCTGCTCTCTCGCTTCTCTTCCTCCCTGCTCTCTCGCTTCTCTTCCTCCCTGCTCTCTCCCGTCTCTTCCTCCCTGCTCTCTTGCTTCTCTTCCTCCCTGCTCTCTCGCGTCTCTTCCTCCCTGCTCTCTCGCTTCTCTTCCTCCCTGCTCTCTCGCTTCTCTTCCTCTGTGCTCTCTCGCTTCTCTTCCTCCCTGCTCTCTCGCTTCTCTTCCTCCCTGCTCTCTCGCTTCTCTTCCTCCCTGCTCTCTCGCTTCTCTTCCTCCCTGCTCTCTCGCTTCTCTTCCTCCTTGCTCTCTCGCTTCTCTTCCTCCCTGCTCTCTTGCTTCTCTTCCTCCCTGCTCTCTCGCTTCTCCTCCTCCCTGCTCTCTCGCTTCTCTTCCTCCCTGCTCTCTCGCTTCTCTTCCTCCCTGCTCTCTCGCTTCTCTTCCTCCCTGCTCTCTCGCTTCTCTTCCTCCCTGCTCTCTCGCTTCTCTTCCTCCCTGCTCTCTCGCGTCTCTTCCTCCCTGCTCTCTCGCTTCTCTTCCTCCCTGCTCTCTCGCATCTCTTCCTCCCTGCTCTCTCGCGTCTCTTCCTACCTGCTCTCTCGCTTCTCTTCCTCCCTGCTCTCTCGCTTCTCTTCCTCCCTGCTCTCTCGCTTCTCTTCCTCCCTGCTCTCTCGCTTCTCTTCCTCCCTGCTCTCTCGCTTTTCTTCCTCCCTGCTCTCTCGCTTCTCTTCCTCCCTGCTCTCTCGCTTCTCTTCCTTCCTGCTCTCTCGCTTCTCTTCCTCCCTGCTCTCTCGCTTCTCTTCCTCCCTGCTCTCTCGCTTCTCTTCCTCCCTGCTCTCTCGCTTCTCTTCCTCCTTGCTCTCTCCCGTCTCTTCCTCCCTGCTCTCTTGCTTCTCTTCCTCCCTGCTCTCTCGCGTCTCTTCCTCCCTGCTCTCTCGCTTCTCTTCCTCCCTGCTCTCTCGCTTCTCTTCCTCTGTGCTCTCTCGCTTCTCTTCCTCCCTGCTCTCTCGCTTCTCTTCCTCCCTGCTCTCTCGCTTCTCTTCCTCCCTGCTCTCTCGCTTCTCTTCCTCCCTGCTCTCTCGCTTCTCGTCCTCCTTGCTCTCTCGCTTTTCTTCCTCCCTGCTCTCTTGCTTCTCTTCCTCCCTGCTCTCTCGCTTCTCCTCCTCCCTGCTCTCTCGCTTCTCTTCCTCCCTGCTCTCTCGCTTCTCTTCCTCCCTGCTCTCTCGCTTCTCTTCCTCCCTGCTCTCTCCCGTCTCTTCCTCCCTGCTCTCTTGCTTCTCTTCCTCCCTGCTCTCTCGCGTCTCTTCCTCCCTGCTCTCTCGCTTCTCTTCCTCCCTGCTCTCTCGCTTCTCTTCCTCTGTGCTCTCTCGCTTCTCTTCCTCCCTGCTCTCTCGCTTCTCTTCCTCCCTGCTCTCTCGCTTCTCTTCCTCCCTGCTCTCTCGCTTCTCTTCCTCCCTGCTCTCTCGCTTCTCTTCCTCCTTGCTCTCTCGCTTCTCTTCCTCCCTGCTCTCTTGCTTCTCTTCCTCCCTGCTCTCTCGCTTCTCCTCCTCCCTGCTCTCTCGCTTCTCTTCCTCCCTGCTCTCTCGCTTCTCTTCCTCCCTGCTCTCTCGCTTCTCTTCCTCCCTGCTCTCTCGCTTCTCTTCCTCCCTGCTCTCTCGCTTCTCTTCCTCCCTGCTCTCTCGCGTCTCTTCCTCCCTGCTCTCTCGCTTCTCTTCCTCCCTGCTCTCTCGCATCTCTTCCTCCCTGCTCTCTCGCGTCTCTTCCTACCTGCTCTCTCGCTTCTCTTCCTCCCTGCTCTCTCGCTTCTCTTCCTCCCTGCTCTCTCGCTTCTCTTCCTCCCTGCTCTCTCGCTTCTCTTCCTCCCTGCTCTCTCGCTTTTCTTCCTCCCTGCTCTCTCGCTTCTCTTCCTCCCTGCTCTCTCGCTTCTCTTCCTTCCTGCTCTCTCGCTTCTCTTCCTCCCTGCTCTCTCGCTTCTCTTCCTCCCTGCTCTCTCGCTTCTCTTCCTCCCTGCTCCCTCGCTTCTCTTCCTCCCTGCTCTCTCGCTTCTCTTCCTCCCTGCTCTCTCGCTTCTCTTCCTCCCTGCTCTCTCGCTTCTCTTCCTCCCTGCTCTCTCGCTTCTCTTCCTCCCTGCTCTCTCGCTTCTCGTCCTCCCTGCTCTCTCGCTTCTCTTCCTCCCTGCTCTCTCGCTTCTCTTCCTCCTTGCTCTCTCGCTTCTCTTCCTCCCTGCTCTCTTGCTTCTCTTCCTCCCTGCTCTCTCGCTTCTCCTCCTCCCTGCTCTCTCGCTTCTCTTCCTCCCTGCTCTCTCGCTTCTCTTCCTCCCTGCTCTCTCGCTTCTCTTCCTCCCTGCTCTCTCGCTTCTCTTCCTCCCTGCTCTCTCGCTTCTCTTCCTCCCTGCTCTCTCGCGTCTCTTCCTCCCTGCTCTCTCGCTTCTCTTCCTCCCTGCTCTCTCGCATCTCTTCCTCCCTGCTCTCTCGCGTCTCTTCCTACCTGCTCTCTCGCTTCTCTTCCTCCCTGCTCTCTCGCTTCTCTTCCTCCCTGCTCTCTCGCTTCTCTTCCTCCCTGCTCTCTCGCTTCTCTTCCTCCCTGCTCTCTCGCTTTTCTTCCTCCCTGCTCTCTCGCTTCTCTTCCTCCCTGCTCTCTCGCTTCTCTTCCTTCCTGCTCTCTCGCTTCTCTTCCTCCCTGCTCTCTCGCTTCTCTTCCTCCCTGCTCTCTCGCTTCTCTTCCTCCCTGCTCTCTCGCTTCTCTTCCTCCCTGCTCTCTCCCGTCTCTTCCTCCCTGCTCTCTTGCTTCTCTTCCTCCCTGCTCTCTCGCGTCTCTTCCTCCCTGCTCTCTCGCTTCTCTTCCTCCCTGCTCTCTCGCTTCTCTTCCTCTGTGCTCTCTCGCTTCTCTTCCTCCCTGCTCTCTCGCTTCTCTTCCTCCCTGCTCTCTCGCTTCTCTTCCTCCCTGCTCTCTCGCTTCTCTTCCTCCCTGCTCTCTCGCTTCTCTTCCTCCTTGCTCTCTCGCTTCTCTTCCTCCCTGCTCTCTTGCTTCTCTTCCTCCCTGCTCTCTCGCTTCTCCTCCTCCCTGCTCTCTCGCTTCTCTTCCTCCCTGCTCTCTCGCTTCTCTTCCTCCCTGCTCTCTCGCTTCTCTTCCTCCCTGCTCTCTCCCGTCTCTTCCTCCCTGCTCTCTTGCTTCTCTTCCTCCCTGCTCTCTCGCGTCTCTTCCTCCCTGCTCTCTCGCTTCTCTTCCTCCCTGCTCTCTCGCTTCTCTTCCTCCCTGCTCTCTCGCTTCTCTTCCTCCTTGCTCTCTCGCTTCTCTTCCTCCCTGCTCTCTTGCTTCTCTTCCTCCCTGCTCTCTCGCTTCTCTTCCTCCCTGCTCTCTCGCTTCTCTTCCTCCTTGCTCTCTCGCTTCTCTTCCTCCCTGCTCTCTTGCTTCTCTTCCTCCCTGCTCTCTCGCTTCTCCTCCTCCCTGCTCTCTCGCTTCTCTTCCTCCCTGCTCTCTCGCTTCTCTTCCTCCCTGCTCTCTCGCTTCTCTTCCTCCCTGCTCTCTCGCTTCTCTTCCTCCCTGCTCTCTCGCTTCTCTTCCTCCCTGCTCTCTCGCGTCTCTTCCTCCCTGCTCTCTGCTTCTCTTCCTCCTGCTCTCTCGCATCTCTTCCTCCCTGCTCTCTCGCGTCTCTTCCTACCTGCTCTCTCGCTTCTCTTCCTCCCTGCTCTCTCGCTTCTCTTCCTCCCTGCTCCCTCGCTTCTCTTCCTCCCTGCTCTCTCGCTTCTCTTCCTCCCTGCTCTCTCGCTTCTCTTCCTCCCTGCTCTCTCGCTTCTCTTCCTCCCTGCTCTCTCGCTTCTCTTCCTCCCTGCTCTCTCGCTTCTCTTCCTCCCTGCTCTCTCGCTTCTCTTCCTCCCTGCTCTCTCGCTTCTCTTCCTCCCTGCTCTCTCGCTTCTCTTCCTCCCTGCTCTCTCGCGTCTCTTCCTCCCTGCTCTCTCGCTTCTCTTCCTCCCTGCTCTCTCGCATCTCTTCCTCCCTGCTCTCTCGCGTCTCTTCCTACCTGCTCTCTCGCTTCTCTTCCTCCCTGCTCTCTCGCTTCTCTTCCTCCCTGCTCTCTCGCTTCTCTTCCTCCCTGCTCTCTCGCTTCTCTTCCTCCCTGCTCTCTCGCTTCTCTTCCTCCCTGCTCTCTCGCTTCTCTTCCTCCCTGCTCTCTCGCTTCTCTTCCTCCCTGCTCTCTCGCTTCTCTTCCTCCCTGCTCTCCTCTTCTCTTCCTCCCTGCTCTCTCGCTTCTCTTCCTCCCTGCTCTCTCGCTTCTCTTCCTCCCTGCTCTCTCGCTTCTCTTCCTCCCTGCTCTCTTCTTCTCTTCCTCCCTGCTCTCTCGCTTCTCTTCCTCCCTGCTCTCTCGCTTCTCTTCCTCCCTGCTCTCTCGCTTCTCTTCCTCCCTGCTCTCTCGCTTCTCTTCCTCCCTGCTCTCTCGCTTCTTCTTCCTCCCTGCTCTCTCGCTTCTCTTCCTCCCTGCTCTCTCGCTTCTCTTCCTCCCTGCTCTCTCGCTTCTCTTCCTCCCTGCTCTCTCGCTTCTCTTCCTCCCTGCTCTCTCGCTTCTCTTCCTCCCTGCTCTCTCGCTTCTCTTCCTCCCTGCTCTCTCGCTTCTCTTCCTCCCTGCTCTCTCGCTTCTCTTCCTCCCTGCTCTCTCGCTTCTCTTCCTCCCTGCTCTCTCGCTTCTCTTCCTCCCTGCTCTCTCGCTTCTCTTCCTCCCTGCTCTCTCGCTTCTCTTCCTCCCTGCTCTCTCGCTTCTCTTCCTCCCTGCTCTCTCGCTTCTCTTCCTCCCTGCTCTCTCGCTTCTCTTCCTCCCTGCTCTCTCGCTCTCTTCCTCCCTGCTCTCTCGCTTCTCTTCCTCCCTGCTCTCTCGCTTCTCTTCCTCCTGCTCTCTCGCTTCTCTTCCTCCCTGCTCTCTCGCTTCTCTTCCTCCCTGCTCTCTCGCTTCTCTTCCTCCCTGCTCTCTCGCTTCTCTTCCTCCCTGCTCTCTCGCTTCTCTTCCTCCCTGCTCTCTCGCTTCTCTTCCTCCCTGCTCTCTCGCTTCTCTTCCTCCCTGCTCTCTCGCTTCTCTTCCTCCCTGCTCTCTCGCTCTCTTCCTCCCTGCTCTCTCGCTTCTCTTCCTCCCTGCTCTCTCGCTCTCTTCCTCCTGCTCTCTCGCTTCTCTTCCTCCCTGCTCTCTCGCTTCTCTTCCTCCCTGCTCTCTCGCTTCTCTTCCTCCCTGCTCTCTCGCTTCTCTTCCTCCCTGCTCTCTCGCTTCTCTTCCTCCCTGCTCTCTCGCTTCTCTTCCTCCCTGCTCTCTCGCTTCTCTTCCTCCCTGCTCTCTCGCTTCTCTTCCTCCCTGCTCTCTCGCTTCTCTTCCTCCCTGCTCTCTCGCTTCTCTTCCTCCCTGCTCTCTCGCTTCTCTTCCTCCCTGCTCTCTCGCTTCTCTTCCTCCCTGCTCTCTCGCTTCTCTTCCTCCCTGCTCTCTCGCTTCTCTTCCTCCCCTCTCGCTTCTCTTCCTCCTGCTCTCTCGCTTCTTCCTCCTGCTCTCTCGCTTCTCTTCCTCCCTGCTCTCTCGCTTCTCTTCCTCCCTGCTCTCTCGCTTCTCTTCCTCCCTGCTCTCTCGCTTCTCTTCCTCCCTGCTCTCTCGCTTCTCTTCCTCCCTGCTCTCTCGCTTCTCTTCCTCCTGCTCTCTCGCTTCTCTCGCTCTCTCCTTCTCTTCCTCCCTGCTCTCTCGCTTCTCTTCCTCCCTGCTCTCTCGCTTCTCTTCCTCCCTGCTCTCTCGCTTCTCTTCCTCCCTGCTCTCTCGCTTCTCTTCCTCCCTGCTCTCTCGCTTCTCTTCCTCCCTGCTCTCTCGCTTCTCTTCCTCCCTGCTCTCTCGCTTCTCTTCCTCCCTGCTCTCTCGCTTCTCTTCCTCCCTGCTCTCTCGCTTCTCTTCCTCCCTGCTCTCTCGCTTCTCTTCCTCCCTGCTCTCTCGCTTCTCTTCCTCCCTGCTCTCTCGCTTCTCTTCCTCCCTGCTCTCTCGCTTCTCTTCCTCCCTGCTCTCTCGCTTCTCTTCCTCCCTGCTCTCTCGCTTCTCTTCCTCCCTGCTCTCTCGCTTCTCTTCCTCCCTGCTCTCTCGCTTCTCTTCCTCCCTGCTCTCTCGCTTCTCTTCCTCCCTGCTCTCTCGCTTCTCTTCCTCCCTGCTCTCTCGCTTCTCTTCCTCTGTGCTCTCTCGCTTCTCTTCCTCCCTGCTCTCTCGCTTCTCTTCCTCCCTGCTCTCTCGCTTCTCTTCCTCCCTGCTCTCTCGCTTCTCTTCCTCCCTGCTCTCTCGCTTCTCTTCCTCCCTGCTCTCTCGCTTCTCTTCCTCCCTGCTCTCTTGCTTCTCTTCCTCCCTGCTCTCTCGCTTCTCCTCCTCCCTGCTCTCTCGCTTCTCTTCCTCCCTGCTCTCTCGCTTCTCTTCCTCCCTGCTCTCTCGCTTCTCTTCCTCCCTGCTCTCTCGCTTCTCTTCCTCCCTGCTCTCTCGCTTCTCTTCCTCCCTGCTCTCTCGCGTCTCTTCCTCCCTGCTCTCTCGCTTCTCTTCCTCCCTGCTCTCTCGCATCTCTTCCTCCCTGCTCTCTCGCGTCTCTTCCTACCTGCTCTCTCGCTTCTCTTCCTCCCTGCTCTCTCGCTTCTCTTCCTCCCTGCTCTCTCGCTTCTCTTCCTCCCTGCTCTCTCGCTTCTCTTCCTCCCTGCTCTCTCGCTTTTCTTCCTCCCTGCTCTCTCGCTTCTCTTCCTCCCTGCTCTCTCGCTTCTCTTCCTTCCTGCTCTCTCGCTTCTCTTCCTCCCTGCTCTCTCGCTTCTCTTCCTCCCTGCTCTCTCGCTTCTCTTCCTCCCTGCTCCCTCGCTTCTCTTCCTCCCTGCTCTCTCGCTTCTCTTCCTCCCTGCTCTCTCGCTTCTCTTCCTCCCTGCTCTCTCGCTTCTCTTCCTCCCTGCTCTCTCGCTTCTCTTCCTCCCTGCTCTCTCGCTTCTCTTCCTCCCTGCTCTCTTGCTTCTCTTCCTCTTGCTCTCTCGCTTCTCTTCCTCCCTGCTCTCTCGCTTCTCTTCCTCACCCCTGTCTCCTCTACCTCCCTCCCAGCTGTCCTGCCTCACTCGCTCCACCCGTCGCGCCTCTCTCCCTCCCTGTTCCCGCGCCTTTCGAAAGGCGCCGAACATTCCGCAAGCGCGAAGCTTGCGGGAACCGGGACGCGGGAGGGCAGCAGGAAGCGGGGAAGGGCCGCACAGCGGACACGTGGGAAGCGAGCAGCTGTGGGAAGCAGCGTGAGACGGCGTTACCGAGGGAAGGTGGGCGATGCGCGCTTGGCGGTTCGCGCGGGCTGCGTGAAGCAGGGAGCAGCGGGAAATGGGTCTTGCTTTAGCGTCACACAGCGGCGCCGCGGGGGGCCGAAAGGGGGTAGCGGGCAGCGACAGGAAGGTTGGAGCAGCGGGCGCAGGAAGCGGCACTGGTGAGTGGGAGCAATGGCGATTAGGGTAGCAACGGGCAATGGGGAGCGGGGTGCTGCGCGAAGCGAGACGGATGGGACAGCGGGAAGCTGGGTCCCCGGAGCTAGAAGGCTCGACCGACGAGCGCGAAGCAGGCGAGCGCGAAGCGAGAAGCAGTGTTCAGCGGGAAGCAGAGAAAATTGGGGAGCGGGAGCGGAGAGCGGGCAGCCGCTTGGTGCGTCGCGAAGCTCAGGCTTGGGGTCGCGTTCTTGGTAGCGGGGTTTTTTATTTAGCCTAGGCTGCACGTGCGGGAAGCAGCCAGAAGCGGGTAGCTGCAGCTAGCCGGAAGCGCAAGGGGTGACGTGGAAAGAGGGGAGGGCTACATCGGGGCGTGAGTATGGAGGCTTGTAACGGAATAAGCTGCATATGCTTGAGATATGGAATGCTAGGGAACGATGTCTACGGTAGCTATGGCATTGTAAACAAAATGGCGTTTCTCCAGGTCCCAATTTACAAGCCCTCGGTTGTCAACATTTTCCCTTGCCATTGTTCCTGCCTTGGTTGGAGTTTGCGCTGGTACGCGAAACCTGTTTTGCCACATTCCCCAATCAGAAGCCACCATTTCCCATTCGGCTCAGCATTGTTCACTATTCACGAAGTGCATGGGGTAACCATCCAAACGCGTTCCAGAATTGTTAACAAAAAAGCTTGCACCTTGCAACTTGGGACCTGGGCTTTAAGTGTCGTTGGTAAGCTTCTGGAAGCCTCTGCTGCAGCCACAGACTGCGTTTCCTGCCTCGTCCTTGCTGCACTTGGCGTTGGCACCACGCTCAGCTAAGAGGCACTTGCCTGCATTGTTGTATCAGGAAACAAAAGGCGAGCTTGGTGGGAATAACAACGAACAGGCCAAACGGGAAGGGCTTCAGTGCCATCACTGGCAGCAAACCTTGCCAAGAGCCATCACTGGCAGCAAAGCCCTGGTCGCATGCACAGGTGACGCCCTTGCTGTCACTCGTTGTTATGCACGTGGAGTTGCCTGGACACATGGCGTGCTGGCAGATGCTCTCTACAGAGAAACAAAGATTGAGGCGAAAGCAATGTATGTGCGGGAGAATAGGTAATGGAGGCTAAGTCAGATCACATGCTGGAAGATGGCTCGTTGCAAGTAATATGACTACACAGACCGAATCAAACACTCACATCACGCTGTCGCTACCGTTAGCTGGCACGAGCGCCACGATGAAAGATATGTGGCTCCGAATGCGAGGAGGGCAGCACGGCGCGTAGCAGCATCGCAGTGGAGGGACAGCGGTTCCATCAGTGCGTGAATCACAGTGAAGCCTGCTCATGCACCAATATCGCAGTAGACAGACGAGACTGTAGCCTAGAAGATGGCCTTCTTCTTGCTGCTCAGGCATGTGTGGATGGGTTGAGAACCAATCGAATTATGAACACATGGGGTGAGGAACACAAGGGGTGAGGAACACATGGGGTGACGAGCACATGGGGCGAGGAGCACATGGGGCGAGGAGCACATGGGGCGAGGAGCACATGGGGCGAGGAGCGCATGGGGTGAGGAGCACATGGGGTGAGGAGCACATGGGGTGAGGAGCACATTGGGTGAGGAGCACATGGGATGAGGAGCACATGGGGTGAGGAGCACATGGGTTGAGGAGCACATGGGGTGAGGAGCACATGGGGTGAGGAGCACATGGGTTGAGGAGCACATGGTGTGAGGAGGACATGGGATGAGAAACATATGGGGTGAGGAACACATGGGTGGGAAACACATGGGGTGAGGAACACATGGGGTGCAGAACACATGGGGCGAGGAACATAAGGACTTGGGGACAAATGGGGTGAAGAATACATGGGGGGTTGCAGGGTTGGCTACAGGAAGCCCATTGAAACATCATGCGGCTCTCATCAGCTCTTTTCACAACAACATGCCACAGCTCGAGACCCCATCTGACCTGGCAAATTGAAGACGCTACTGCCCCGCTTGCCCTTCCCACGCGTGACCGCCATGAGCAGGGCACCGGTGCAAGTGCGGGAGGCGAAGAACTTCAGCTGCTTGCACGTGGCACTCGCCATGGAGCTGCCGCTGCTGCCGCTGCTGCTGCTGCTGCTGCTGCCGGCATTGCCAAGGCTCCACTGCACCTTCACGTCCTTGCTTGCCTTCGCCACCCCCCTGGACATGCGGGTGCAGCGGAAGTCTTTCCCAGGGGCTGAGCTCAACGCGCTGAACTTGATGCGCGCTTGTTCCAGCGCCACCTCTGTGGCCACCTGCAGTGACACGCCCACGGCCCCCCAGGACAGGCTCAGCTGTGCGATGTCCCTGCACTCGCTGGACAGCTCAGGGCTGGCAGGTGACCCAAGGGTGCTGGATCTGAGCGCCACCTGCATCAAAGTGGCCACTTCAAGCAAGAGCAGGGAGAGAAAAGGCGATGAGTGCACGGTGACATGGGGAGAAGCCAACGAGCAGCACCCTAGAGAACTGGGCAGCGTCCGTGCATGAGGTGTGCTGGCTGAGAAGCTGACTCACTGCAGATCATGCTGTCTCACCACAGATCATGCTGAATCACCACAGATCATGCCGACTCACTCCAGATCACGCTGCCTCACCGCAGATGACTCTGAGTCACCGCAGATGACGCTGATTCACCGCAGATGACGCTGACTCACAGCAGATCATGCTGACAGCGAGCACGAGAAGCTCAAACGAGGCGCAAAAGTTGGCCATGGGGGACAAGCGTGCTGCACTCTCAATCGCCCGCAGTATCGGAAATGTGGCTTCGGGAATTTCTTGGAAAGGCACATGTCGCTGTGGTGGAAATGCTGCTTGGCCGCCGAGAATGGCACGCTGGGAAAGCAGCTGAGGAGGCCGCTTTAACGGCGGATCATGGGCCAGAGATTGAGAGTCCAGCAGCACGGAGAGTGGCTTGGGAGTCATTCTCACAGTTTCTTTCAAATGAGGAGGCGTGGAGTAATAATACTATTCGTAGCTTACAACGAGGACGCTGCTCATATGATACAGCACGAAGCGAGTGGGATAGTTGCTGGTGCTGCTATGATACAGCACGAAGCGAGTGGGATAGTTGCTGGTGCTGCTATGATACAGCAAGAAGCGAGTGGGACAGTTTCTGGTGCTGCTATGAAACAGCACGAAGCACGTGGGATAGTTTCTGGTGCTGCTATGATACAGCACCAAGCAAGTGGGATAGTTGCTGCTGCTGCTCTGATACAGCACGAAGCGAGTGGGATAGTTGCTGGTGCTGCTATGATACAGCAAGAAGTGAGTGGGATAGTTGCTGGTGCTGTTATGATACAGCACGAAGCGAGTGGGATAATAGCTGGTGCTGCTCTGGTACAGCACGAAGCGAGTGGGATAGTTGCTGGTGCTGCTATGATACAGCAAGAAGCGAGTGGGATAGTTGCTGGTGCTGTTATGATACAGCACGAAGCAAGTGGGACAGTTGCTGGTGCTGCTTTGATGCAGCACAATAATTGCTCGTGCTGCTATGATACAGCACGAAGCGAGTGGGATAGTTGCTGGTGCTGCTATGATACAGCACGAAGCGCGTGGGATAGTTTCTATGATACGGAACGAAGCATGTGGGATAGTTGCTGGTGTTGCTATGATACAGAACAAAGCATGTGGGATAGTTGCTGGTGCTGCTATGATACAGCACGAAGCGAGTAAGATAGTTGCTGGTGCTGCTATGATACCGAACGAAGCGCGTGGGACAGTTGCTCGGGCTGCTATGATACAGCACGAAGCGAGTGGGATAGTTGCTGGTGCTGCTATGATACAGCACGGAGCGAGAGGGATAGTTGCTGGTGCTGCTATGATACAGCACGAAGCACGTGGGATAGTTTCTGGTGCTACTATGATACAGCATGAAGCGAATGGGATAGTGGTGGTGCTGCTCTGATACAGCACGATGCACGTGGGACAGTTGCTGGTGCTGCTATGATACAGCACGAAGCGAGTGGGATAGTTGCTGGTGCTGCTATGACGCAGCACGATGCGAGTGGGATAGTATCTGGTGCTGCTATGATACAGCACGAAGCGAGTGGGATAGTTTCTGGTGCTGCTATGATACAGCACGAAGTGAGTGGGACAGTTGCTGGTGCTGCTATGGTACAGCATGAAGCGAGTGGGATAGTTGCTGGTGCTGCTATGATACAGCACGAAGCGAGTGAGATAGTCGTTGGTGCTGCTATGATACAGAACGAAGTGTGTGGGACAGTTGCTGGTGCTTCTTTGATACAGCACGAAGCAAGTGGGATAGTTGCTGGTGCTGCTATGATCGAGTACGAAGTGAGTGGGATAGTTGCTGGTGCTGCTAAGATACAGCACGAAGCGAGTGGGATAGTTGCTGGTGCTGCTATGATACAGCACGAAGCGAGTCGGATAATTGCTCGTGCTGTTATGATACAGCACGAAGCGAGTGGGATAGTTTCTGGTGCTGCTATGATACAGAACGAAGCATGTGGGATAGTTGCTGGTGCTGCTATGATACATCACGAAGCAATTGGGATAGTTGCTGGTGCTGCTATGATACGGCACAAAGCGAGTGGGATAGTTGCTAGCGCTGCTATGATATAGCACGAAGTAAGTGGGAAGTTGCTGGTGCTGCTATGACAACGCACGAAGCGAGTGTGATAGTTGCTGGTGCTGCTATGATACAGCACGAAGCGAGTGGAATAGTTGCTGGTGCTGCTATGATACAACACGAAGTGAGTGGGATAGTCGCTGGTGCTGCTATGATACAGCACGAATCGAGTGGGATAGTTTCTGGTGCTGCTATGATACAGTACGAAGCGAGTGGGATAGTTTCTGGTGCTGCTTTGATACAGCACGAAGCGAGTGGGATAGTTGCTGGTGCTGCTATGATAGAGTACGAAGCGAGTGCGATAGTTGCTGGTGCGGCTTTGATACAGCATGAAGTGAGTGGGATAGTTGCAGGTGGTGCTTTTATACACTAGGAAGCGAGTGGGATAGTTGCTGATGCTGCTATGATACAGCACGAAGCAAGTGGGATAGTTGCTGGTGCTGCTATAATACAGCACGGAGCGATTGGGATAGTTTTTGGTGCTGCTATGATACAGCACGAAGCAAGTGGTATAATTGCTCGTGCTGTCATGATACAGCACGAAGTGAGTGGGATAGTTGCTGGTGATGCTGTGATGCAGCACGAAGCAAGCAGGTGACGATGGACTTCGTCACGAGATTGCCTTCCAAGGACGGCAGTAATGACGCGATATTTGTCGTCGTCGATAAGCTGACGAAGATGGCCCACTTCTCCGCCTGCAAGAAAAGCATCTCAGCCGAAGAAACAGCCTGCCTTTTCATCTCAACCATCGGTCGCCTCCATGGAATCTCATCCGCCATCATTTTGGATCGTGACACGAAATTCACCAGTAATTTCTGGCGCAACCTCTCGGAACAGTTTGGCACGCGCCTGCCATTCTCCTCCATCTACCACCCCGAGGCTGAAGTACAGACTGGACGGGCCAATCAGACGATAGAGCAGCTGATTCGCGCCACTTGCGACGACGTGGCCGATTGGGAGCAGCAATTGCCGCTGATTGAGTTCGCGTCTACTGTAATAACGCCGCGTCAGCCACTATACGACAGTCTCTATTCTACCTGAATGACGGGCATAACCCAATACTACTTATCACGCACAACGTCGAAAACCCTGTACCTCGAACCCAACAGTTCGCCGAAATATTACATAATGCCAAGGAGCAAGCTGCCGAAGCCATTAAGCGCGCGAATGTTATTTCTAAGCGCAACGCCGATCTACACTGCCGAGCAGTAACTTACCAGGCTGGAAACTTAATACTGCTCGACACCCAGAACCTTCGACTACCCAACGTCCCATAACTTCGCCCTCGCTACTGTAGACCATTTACCATCAGCCACATGATATCTTTCGTTACAGCCCATCTATTATTACCGGCCACCTGGAACGTCAGCCCATCATTCCACGTGCGATTACTTTGACCATACATCGCCAGCACCTGTAAACTATCACGTCACTGAGCGAATCTGAACATCCGACCGCTCGCCGAGCCTACTATCGAACCTTCGAAGGTTCCCAGCCATCGAATCAAGGACCCTCAAGGGGCTTGCCTGATCGATTTCTGATATCTTGGAAGGACCGGACGGCCCTGGAAAACAGTTGGGTGCTCCTGGCACAAATCGAGAATAACCCAGTGTTACGAGTCTACCTCTAGTCACGCAATGTGCACGACGTCGGCGGTCTTAGCTAAGACCATACCTTGGAGGGGGGAGGGTGTAAGGAAATGGTATTTCCTTATCACGTGTTTTAGTCAGTAAGGCATACACTGCTATAAAAGGGTTACCACGCAGCTCTGCCACGAAACTCAAATCGCGGTACCCAAATGTGGCCTCCTGACGAGCCGCATGCAATTTGCCCGCCTTGTTGTTTCATGCCTAGATCTGGGCGCTTCGCGCTAATTTACGAACCACGCGTCGCAGCTCTGCCGAGCCACGACCGTATGCTCTAGGCTAGCTATATCCATGCTCCCTGTTTTGATGTTGCCTCTGTTGTATTGTTTTCTCATTAATCCTTCGACAGACGCTCTTTGCACTTCATTACAGTAGTAGCCCTCGGTATTTCCTTCTCGTTTTTTTTTTTTTTTTTTTGCGGAGCAACCTATTGCGATCGATTGAACAGATTTTTTTTCAAGTTTTGGTGGTAAAAAAAATATAAACTCAAAAATTGAAAATGGTCTTTAACTTACTAGCATTTGAAATCTGAATCAAATTGGTTCTGGTGTAAGTTACAATAGTGTAATACGTATTTATGCATATTACACTATCAATTTTGAGCGGAAGCACTGATGAGAAATAGAAGTCAATGCCTCTGTTTCCCATTATATCTCATGGCGTTTATTTGTCAAGACAAAAATAGGCTATCGCCTCCCCAACTAAGTAGGGGAAGCAAAAAGCCTAGTTCATCAAAACAAAATTAGGCTATCGCTTCCCCAGCTCTAGCCGGGGGGGGAAGCTTCAAGCCTAATTGCCATAAATGAATACAAACAAAAAGCAACACAATTTGTCAGTTCCAAAAAGTGGTTTGCGCTCATCATTTCCAGTTCAAATCTCTGCACTCAAAGAGAGAAGTGATGAAAACAATTCCACTTTTGAAATACACAAAGTGTATTACTGCTACTAGTGACCTAGATCAGTGACTACATAAGGCGCAGAAAACAGTTTAAAACGGTTGCACTGAAGCATAAATGTAGTTCAGCGAAGAATGAGTAGTCACGTTGTGTTGCCCATAACGATGCAAGTTAGCATCTTCAACGAGCTGAAACTCTGCCGGAAGCTTATAAAAAACTCGTGGAATCAAAGTGATAGAGTAAGTTAAAAACAGAAAACGGGCACAAAACGGATCGGGAGAGAGATAGAATGGAATGGGTAAGTAAGATTGAGATAGGAAACGGAACTGAAGGTGGCACAAGGATTGAATGGAACGGACAAGGGAGAAAAACGAATAACTGAAAATAAAGGAGGCGGCGTAGATGGAAGAGAGAGAGATGGTAGGGGAGGTGAATGGAGGGAAGGAAACGGATTGTGCTTACCGCATCTTCAAGATGCAAATTGAGGATGCATATATAAAGGGAGAGAGAAGTAAGAACTCAATGCAAAGGAAGGGGAAGGCTTGGAGTATAGAAGAGAAGAGGCGGATGAGAATCCGTACCGAGTATCTTAGTTGAAAGAGACCATTTACGTTTCCTCTACTAGCTTGAGAAAAAACGAGAGAAGAAACATAGAGGATCTAATAAGATACGACTGCACAGAAATGTCATTAAGCCACTATTTATACCGGCCTGAAGTATACAAATCGTACAGCTGCGATAAGAAAAGGAAGTAGTACCTGCTGTCGCGTTGCTGCCTAATCATGAGATCTACGATTACCGATTGCTGGAAGTGGAGAAGAGAAAAACGTGAGACTGGAGTATGGAGGAAGAAGAATAGAGCATAAGGCAGTCACGTTTCTGCAACTCTGAACCCTCGAGCGGAGCAGCTGCGTTCAAATAGCCACGGTTTTGCAGCTCTGAAATAATTTATTTATTTTCTCGGTCAGAAAGTGCCCCATCGTACTGAAATTTGCGTAATAGTGTTATGTAACCAGAAATATCAATAGTGTAACTTCGAAATTCGAGTGTGTAACGCGTAATGCATCTAGTGGCGAGCTCGGGGGTTTTGCCTCATATTGACGGGAAAAAAAAATCAGCATTCTGTGGCGAGTGTAGCTAGGCTGGTGTCATTGCCACGCCGGATTTTATTTCCGTCTGGCAGTTACACACGATGTCCGCAAAGTGCCCTGCCCAAAAAAAATCCCAATTGCCCTCCCTCGCCCAATAGCAGAAGTTTACGGGCAGTATCCGTTTCGAGAGAGTCCCCCGCGCAGGCTACTGTGCTGAGTCATCATGACAGCGGCGATGAACGTGCGGACAGCGACGAAGCAATTGTAGCCTTTTGGTTTTCGCCGCATATTTTTGGACGGCGTCGCGAGGGCGGTTCGTCCAGGCCAAAATGGCCTTTCGCGTTTTTTGCGAAGCCGCGAAGGACGCGAGGGCAATGGAAATCAACGGAACAACGCAAATGGGAAACGCCACGATGACTCAGCATGGCATGACCCCTAGGCAACTGACTGAATTAGAGCCCTATTTGGTCGAAAAAGCTGCACACTTATCGAAGCCGCACAAATTGTGAGCAAATGTCATGTTCGTGAGCTGTTGGTTGAGCTAATGAAACAGCACTTGGGGCTGTTTCTGTTCGTCACAGCGTAACCGTGGTTACATATGCAATCTGAAATCTGCCACCCAAACCTTCCCCTATAGCGACAAAAAAGTTACCAACGTGCTCACCCTAAATCCAGGCCTCAGGATATCAGGGTAAAATACCCTTACGGCCCTTACTATAAGGCTGGGGTTGGTGTTGGACCCTTATATTTAAAAGTGGTTTAGTTTTGGACCCTTAGGAAAAAAACTAAGTTTGTACCGGACCCTGATTTTGAAAAGTGGTGTAACGTTAGCACCTAGATGCGAAAAAGTGCCTTTACGAAATACCCTGATGTGATTCTACATGCAGGACCCCCGTTTGTGGGCAAGATTTTTCCCCCAAGTCACGTCGCAATCAGCGCCATTACTGCTCTGTGCTGGCGCGCGTCGACGAGTTAAAGACAAACCAATTAGCGTCAGGGGTCGCAGCGCGCATGGACAGCGCGGCAGCAAATGGTCCTGTGGTGACCTGTTATGCAGGCAAACGACCAGATTGGTGGAAAGAAGGGGGCACAGCTGTCGATCCCTTTCTCCTCTATTCGGGGTACCACTTCTTGTTCAACTGTTTCTTTCAAGCTGTTCTTGAGAGCACCGAGTTACAACCTGCTCTGGGTTTGTATCTCTCACCCGTTTCCCATATTCCACTCGCCTCGACGACAGCCATGGACCCCGACGACGGCGATGAGGAGGAGGATGGTGGGCGGAAATGCCCGCTATCCCCTCCGCGATCAGCCCTTAGTTTCCTCCGTCACGCACCAATCACAGTCGCTCAGCCGTGCCCACCTCCCACCTCCCCTTGCGTTGGGTCACCTCCTCTGACCGAACCCATAGCGGATGTCCCTGAGCGTACACCCCCATCTCCTGTTGCTCTACCGGTTTCCGTCTCTGGGGGTTCCCCTGCCCCATCCCCAACTGATGTGGGCTTGACGTCGTCTTTCACGAAGCGGAAAGCGAGCAGCTAGCAGCAGAAGTGGCTGCAGCAGCGTCTTCCCTTTGCTCGGTCAATGGACAAAGCGCCTGTTGAGGAACCCGACGATGTCGCCGGCGACGATGATGATGAGGATCACGAACCCGTCGACCAAGAGAGTTTCAAAGATCCACAGGCTGCTTTTGCAAAAGCGCACCGACGTTTTAAGTCTGCTCGGGAGAGTTTGTTCCCTTGGCTTGTCCTCGACCGTGCTGACGATGGTTTCCCTGTATTGCGCTGCAGCACTTGCCTCGAGCACGGAGTTTCAAGCGCGGACACCAAGTACGGCAAGGACGGATGCGGCGGGCGTGACATGCAGAAGAACAGTATCCAGACTCACCAGCGCTCCAACACCCACCGCGACGCCTACTGTCTGATGAAGGCAAAGCAGTCGAGGATGTTGCGGCAAACTCTCCTCAACGAGTACGAGGGGCTCGACAAGAGCACGCTACATCTCATCACCGCCATGAAGACAGCGGTGTACACGTGCCAATCGGAGGCGCCGATAACATCCTACGTCGGCTTCATGAAGTTCATGGCTACAGTGCAGACGCCCAATCTCCCTCTGGATCAGAAGGGCGCCTACTTTTCAGAGTGAGTAACTTCGAATTCGGATTCATCGCGCCTTGTATTTTCGATCTTAGTGCGTTTTTTTCCAAGTACCGAGCGAGCATATTAGTGTTTATGAGATGCAACATCTCTACTTACTCTTGTTTCATCGTGCTTATGCTTGGCAGATACGGATTCAACGAGTTGGTCGAGGCCGCATCGAAGTACCTACGAGAAGAGCAGCTGAAGAACATCGCCAACAACCCTTATCTCGGCATCGCTATTGATGAGAGCACGGACCGTGTCAGAGGGAAGCATTTGATAGTATATATTGTCAA